ATATATATATATATGTTTCTTTCTTTCACCTTCTGAATTATCACGACTAAATCATGACTGTAAAATCTCACGTTTCTCCGTGTCTGTTGTTTTTTCTTGTTGTTAACTTTTTAGTTTTAACAAAAACAATTAAATTCAGAGTCTTTATCACACCGACTTCATTTACCTTTGTATGTAATGACATACGTATTTCTTACAGTACAGTTGGCAACAGTCTCCTGAAATCTCCCATATGGTTGTCTGGTGATCTGGTTTTTCTGTCTGTCCATCAATTCATCTTGTGTTTCACTAGTCAAGAAATCAACTAGTCAAAAATAAAAATCTCTTTAAGGGATATTGTTTGAACCAGCTTTTTTATTATTATTATATTTGTGACTCTATACCAGTCTAACAATAGACCAATCACAGTGGTTAAACCCAAATGTTTATTTGTTCATGTTCATAATTTTCACAGAAATGAACAGGAGAGGATAAGTAATAAACATTCAACAGTTTCAGTTCTTGGTAAAGACGATGATATTTAGTTGTTTTCTCTTTCACGTCCTGTGGAGAGATGAGGCAGACACAGGCTGAGTCACAGCTGAAGAGGAGGTCTGAGACTGAGCACAAGTGAACCTGACATTTCTAAATCTTCACAGTGTTTAATGGGGGGGGCTCTAGGGCTGGTTGGCATGACAGTCATAAAGCACAAGGTCACAGAAAGGAACATGAAGACATTTTTCTTACATGGCTGGAAGGAAAACGATGGACAGAGGAGAGATAGACCAGTTCTGAAGGGAATGTTCTTTCAGTTCTTTTCCAGTTCTTTTTTTTCCAATCAATTTTATTTCTTATTTGTTCAAGAAAAAGACTGAATATACAACAATACCTCAAAGGGTTCTACAGAGGTTCTACTGTTGGTTCTGTTCTTATTGTAAGCAGAGTAGGTTAGAACACTCCTGACAGGTAAATGATAGGATATGTGGAAGTAGAAAGTGGCTCGGTATGGGTTAAAGATGGCCCTTAACATTAAGACAGAGCATCTATATTTACACCAGAACTCAACTGTGGAGTGGAACCACAACAGTTAACAGCCAGTTAGGGTAGGGATATTAGCTTAACGATGTGATATCGATAATAATCATTATCGGTTTTTCCTCTGATAATGAAAACCCGATATCCAGGTGAAGTGACCTAAAAAAAACTTTTGAAGTGAAAGTGAAACTATTATTTGTATTGTTATGTGTGTCCTCTACCTTTAACTCAAACGGCTGCTTATATCGGTATTGGTTGATATCAGATTCGGGAATGAAGTGTTTGGACAATATCGGCATATCGGATATTGACAAAAGATTAATATGGGACATGGTTAGTTTAGGATTATCCCATTCGTCCATGTATGTTATGCTTTCTATTTTTCACAGTTAAGTTATGATTAATTGATAAGAACTCACACCGGTTCTCCTTTTTCTAGCAGGGATATCTGATGAACCTTAATCTTAGGAAGATTTTTAGCCACAGAACCACATTTTGAGCCCGCAGGCTGACTCCTCACTCTGAGGATACAACAGCAGCAGCAGCTGTGGGAGCCCTGGTGGTGAAAACCTTTACTGCAGAGATTGGCAAAGTCACTTCTGCTGGTCTCAGCAGGACCTATCACAAAGTCCTCAGTGACAGTGGAAGGTGAGGTTCTGGGCCGACCCAAAGACGACAGTGGACTGAGGCCACATTCTGAGGATGTGTTGTTCAGGCCAAAAGCGAGGGTTCTGCTGCTGTGACCTGGAGTTTGACTGTGTCCTGGATTGGGATGAGGATTACTGTGATGGAGATGCTGTGGTGTTCGGGAAGTTGTGCTCAAACAGTGTATTCCCAGTATACTCTGGAATGCTTTTTTGAATTCTTTGCACGAACATGGGTAGATGATGGGGTTGATGCAGCTGTTGAAGTAACCCAGCCAGAAGGTGATCTTGAAGACAGTGTCAGAAGGTCGATAGGCTGGAATCATGGAGCCTGTGGAAAGATAAGGCAAATGTAAATGGTGAACATTATCTAGAACCATCTCACCAGAACTTCTTTACTTCCCACCTTTTAACCCACAGTTGTGTTATCACTCGCTTTCTTAAATCAATTTTTATCCTCCAGACAGACTGTTCACACATTCCACTTAACCTAATACCCATCCATGCATCCATCCATTTTCATCCTCTTATCCGTTACCAGGTTGTGGGGGCAGCTCTCGCCACCCAAATCACACTGCACCGTACCAACCCCCCCAAACCTTCCTGCAGGTGGTGAGTCCACTGGAAGGTACCAACCACCCTAACCGGGATTCAAACTTGCCCAGGAGGTGAACCCTGGGGTTCCACACCAATGACAGAGACATTGCCTCTGGGCCAAAGCGCCACTAACCTAATACCCTCAAATTGTATTTTCTTTTCTAACACTTCTAAATCAGAGGTTCCCAAAATGGCGGGCACAGTGCCATTGCAGGGCAAAAACATTTTAAAAGAATTTACACCGCTATTTTTAATTGTAGCTCTTGTTTTTGTTGTCATCTGCTCGATCTGCTTGGAGCTTCTAGCTCTGATTCATGTCTGCTTTGATGTTCTTCCTGCCTAGTCCTGTTCCACTGAGTCTAAGTTGAAGTGTTTGGTCTTTTTAGTGCTGCACTCCCGTCCTGGCTTCACCAACACGTGATAGGAAATGTTGAGCAGGCTAGGGTGATAAAGGATGGAGATGAAACAGTAACAATGTGTGAATACCATGTGTTGAGACAGTGTAGTTTGAGAAAGGGGGTAGATCTTGGACAACACGTGGATGAGGAAGTACAAATAAATGGTGAATTGAGGCTCTTGCGTCTTAGTTACCAGTTAGTTCTGATCTTGATAGTGTGAACCAGCTAACTAATATCTGCTAATTATTAACCCTCTAGTATATCTCCATCTGTTTTTAGGCCAAAATTAGTTTGACCTAAACTAGCCTTTTTTTTTGACCATCTGTTTAAACATTTGCTTTGCCTGCTGCTTTTGAGTCCGACCCTCTTAAATTGTAAGTGTCTTGTAAAAATATTATAGTTTTATCAAATAACATAATAATATTTGATAAAATTCCCTTAAAATGACCCTGAATGTGTTTAGAATATCAGATTGTTGTGAAATTATTGTTTATCATTGGTAATGCATTTGAAATTAAAAAAAGTTTTTAAATTTTGCCCCCATTTATATTAAGTATGACCCTGGCCCTAAAGTAAATGATGTCACTTTTAAAGATCCAAGCAAAGAGGATTACCCTGGACACGTGAGTCACAAGTTTCCTTTCTTTCACATCATGTCACTGTCTATTAATATTAGTATAATTAAATGTCTGACATTAAACGTTGCTGTAAAATCCATTCATCTGGGTTCAGGCTCCGTGCCATCTATCATTCGCTGTCATTGTGTGAATGTTTTATTGCATGTGGTCCTGACTTTTTAAAATTAAAACGTCATATGGAGGTGGCCAATAAAGGCAGGTGGAGGAGGGAAAGGAATGGAGGTGACAGATCATTATTCTGTGGCCGCCTGAGCAGCTCATATTTCCCATTCCCAGGTGTGCCGAAAAGAGCTGTTCTTTTATTGAAGGAGCTTTTTATAGATTCACCATTTTTCAGAGGAAACCTGAAGGTATGGTTTAATTCATCTCATGATTTAAAAAAAATAAAATCAAACAGCAGATGTGACTGATGTTTTGTGTAAACTGTAAAAAATGACCTTCAACTAAAGCCCTATAGTGCACACAGCACTGACTGCATCCTCTGCAAACACAGAGAAGATGATGGGCTGAAGATGACATCAGATGACATCAGGTGAAAAGTTGGCTTCACTCTTGACAGGTTTCTAGTCCTTCATATGAAGACACACATGATCAGTTTATATGAGATTTTCTCAGAATAACCCCAGAAACATACACACATGGAGACCTGTAGCCCACGGACCAAAAGAGGCCCACTGTGAGGGTCCATGTGGCCCATTTCAATGCGGCCCATTTGATGAATTTTGAAAGTGAAAAAATGAGTAATTAACACCTCATGTTGGTGATGTTTTGTCAAATTGTATTTCATTTAGTATGAATATTTTCTAATGTTCTTGTACTTATTTGTAGGAAAACAAAGGGGAAAACAAACCATGGACTTATAGTTATGTATAGGTAGTGAAATAGGTAGTGCATCACATGACCCCACACAGTAACTCATTCTGACATTACACATATATTTATATTATGTTCAAATTCAAAACACTAAATAAAATCAAAGAACTGATTCAAGTTATCATTTCCTGAGTGTTTTAAATCCGGTGTTAAACATATGCCCGCTTGATGAATTTTGGCAGTAAAAAAATTACTAATTAGCTCCTTGGGAATTTCCCTAAACTCCTTTCCTGAGTTGGTGGTAATCGTCAAACAATATTTCAATAAAGTTTTACAGATAAAATGTACACTTACCAATGGGTAGTACTAGGAAAAAAGGCAGCCAACACAACACAAAGCAGCCGACCACGATTCCTAGTGTCTTAGCTGCTTTTTTCTCACGTGAGAACTTCATCAGTCGCAGGGCAAAGTGCGTGCGGTGCTGAAGAGCCTCGTCTTCAGTCACAGGGTTGTTTCCTCTGTGGATCCTCAGCGTCACTTTCTTGGAGTCCGATTTCTCTATCTTCTGGCCTTCTCTCAGGCCTTGACTCTCTCGGCGAGCCACCACGTAAACACGACAGTACATGGACAGAATGACCACCAGGGGGAGATAGAAGGAGCCCACAGCTGAGAAGATAGCATAGCCGGGCTCCTCCGTGATATTACAGATGGACGCATCCTCTGGAGCGGGTTCTTTCCAACCGAACAGAGGTCCAACAGATATGATGGTGGACAGAACCCAGAGCAGCATCACAGCCAGCACAGCCCTGTGCTTGGTCATAATGGCCGGGTAACGCAGAGGGTAACTGACGCCAATATATCTGTCCACAGAGATGATGCAGACACTCATGATTGAGGCTGTGCAGCAGAGGACGTCCACGGCGGCCCAAACGTTACAGAAGGCTCGTCCAAACACCCAGCGGTCCAGAACCTCCAGGATGGCAGAGAAAGGCAGAACAGTGGCGCTCAGCAGCAAGTCTGCCACCGCTAGGTTAACGATAAAGTAATGAGTAACTGTTCGCAGGTGCCGATTACAAGCCACTGAAAGGATTACCAGGATGTTCCCTACAATCCCAAACACGATGAAGGTACCTAACACCAGGCCCAGAACCACAGATTTGACCATGTTGAGGTCTGGCAATAAAGCCTGTGTGCATTCTGAGCAGTTCTGATTGAGAGTAGCAGGAGTCATGATCCAATCCAGTAGAGGTAGCATCTGCTTGGACTAAAAACATTCACAATTAGGTGCAGACTACAGCTACGTCATTTATTATGTGAAAACAGTAACAAAACTTTAAAGAAAAAACATTGTTCTTCATTAGAATGTAAATTTGTTTCTGCAAGACGATGTGCATCACAATGTGATGGGCCAGACTTGGCCCTCGGGCCTTGGGTTTGACATACGTATGTGCTGTAGACATGATGATATTCAGACCATCCACATTGTAAGATCTCTGCCCTCTGGACCTGAATTCTAATACATGATCTCTATGATATGGGAAGTCAGTAAGGTATGACCTTCAGACGGCCAACACCAAGATGTTCAACCCTGGCCTTATTCACTCCAAAGAAATCAATATCACACCCTGGCCTTTACACAGCCACAGGGCCAGTATCAGCACCACTACTGTCTGCTGTGATTTAATGTTTTGCAATGTTCTGCAGACAAGTACTGGTAGATTATGATCAATTAAATTAAAATAAAATATAAAAATATTTTTTAATATTAAATCTTTAGATATTTTTTCTCTAGAGTACATTAGCAACAATGCCATTATTGAATCATTGTACACCACACACCTACGGCTATATATGGTAATCAATATATAATATTATATATATAAAGTATATTTAGCTCATATGACTAAATATAACATCTATAATATATATTATCAATGTAGGCAGATCACTTTGGTCTGGTCAATTGATAAGTAGCTCCCAAACCAACGTGTGGACACCTCTGTCCTACAGTATCACCTCTGTTCACATTAGTCGACTTACACTAGGTTCACTTTAGTTCAGTTTCATAAACTTTGTGTCAGTTTTGTTCTCTTTTCATTAGTTTATTTTAATTTTTACACTTTTTTTAACATCAATTCACTTCTGTCCCTTACATTGTTTTGGTTCACCACACTTCAACCAATTTTCTTCCAGCTAACCGCTTTTAACTGAAGATCCCTTCTGCTCCCTTCAGCTGAATTTTAGTCATGTTTGTTTTCTTCAGTTTACCTCCTAACTTCTGTTTAGTTCACTTCTATTCACGTTGGTTCACTAATGTCTGTTTCTGTTTGCCTCATTTCTCTTAAAACTTCTTCTATTTTAGTTCAATTCTCATGAGACAATGTAGAGATTAAAAGGTCCTGTTGATTGTAATCATTCTCTTTGACAGTATACCAGTTAATTAATGTCATATTTAATGTTCCATCATTTTGACTTTGAGTCAACTGTGACATTAATCGTGTCGTCGGTAACAGATGCGGGGTTAATCCTGTGAGAGCAGATTATCTGACATTTGTTAACATGGATGTACGCCATCTGAACGTAGATTAGACAGAACCGGGGATGGTGGGCCACCAATAGAAGTGATTTTCGGATTCGGATAAGCTGTTTTTTAAGGATTGAACCTAAAGTTCAAATGAGTTTATCTCTTGACTCTTACATTGTTATTTTTATTTTTATCATGTACAACACAAGGAGTGTCACCTTTTTGCATGAAAGCTCAAACATCTGATGGTCCACACATGGTTGATTTTAGGATCAACACATGTCCCAAACATAGTTAGTTTCTCCATCAATGAACAGCAGTGGCAAGTGGTGCCCTCCTCAGACGAGGCCAAAAAGGGCACCTGTTGCAACCCTCAGTTTATCAACAATCAATTAAAAAAATAATAACATGAAGTTATTTCATACATATTTTAATACAATTTAAATGAGATTTAATGAACTGGAATTTTATAGCCAGTATAGACCAGTAACCATCACCTGCTACACTGTCCAATCCGCCCTGAGGCTGGATTCCAAAACACACATCAACAATAATAATGTTAGACAAGAATGGGATTATATTCAATTGAATAATATTATATTATATTACATTATGTTATATTGTATTATAATAATTTATTCAATTCATTTAATTATATTTAATTAAATATAAATAATTATATTTATTTATTTGTATGTTTTTATTAAGACTAACAATGCCACTGCTGAACAGTCAGACCATAGCTATTCCAGCTACTCCTTGATGCATCATACCAGGTAACGCTACTGTAAATCTTCAGCATTACCAATGCTATGGTGATAATCTTAATCTCTCCACTAATAAAGTGCAGAATTTTATTAATAGCAATAAAATAAACATGTACCGTATGTTTATGTGTAAGGCTTATATGGATCATCTTGAATAAAAATAGAGTCACTCTTTAGTTCTCCCATTCATTTTTATGCAGTTGTTTTCGTCTAAACATGTTTCTCAAAGCTAAATTCAGAGAATCCCACACGTTCCTCAGTATTTATACCTGTTCACAGATCAGTGTAAAAATGTAAGACTTTTCAATGTAAGACACACAGAAAATGCTAAATGATACAACTTCATTTCTTAATATTTGAGGCAATGATTTTGGAGTTTCATACCTCCCAACTCAGAAAGATGCAAATTCAACATGAATGAGTTAGAGTGCACAAATTGAATCACAATGTTTGGAAAATCATTTGAATCACAGCAGTAACAAAGACACTATTAAAAAAACAAAACAAAGCAAAACCGTAGGAACACAAATGTTTATGTGTATTACTCACCTAAGTTACAGCTGGATTCTCTGCCTCATGATGCTCCTGCCACTGCTGCTTCTGCTATTTCACATTCATCCTGACACTGGAGATTGAGAGAGAAAAGGAGAGAGAGTGAGAGAGTGGGAGGGAGGGAGAGAGAGAGAGAGAGAGAGAGAGAGAGAAAGAGAGAGAGCAACGTTTGAAGAGAGGCATTTTCATGCGCTGATGCTTCAAGTCTCTTCACATAATGATGGGGATGATGGTGATAACGATGATGATGTTGAAAAAGATGTGATCATGATGAAGGTGATGAAGAGGACAGATGTCTTACAAGGTGTCTCACAGCCTTCTTCACCTCTCTCCACCATCATCGTCCTCACCTCATTAAAATGGTTGAAACTCCAAACCTAGAAGTTGTCATTCATTTTGCTGGAATTTTAACCCCTCACACACACACACACACGCATTCTTGCAGTCCACTGTTGAACGTACTCTAACCTGTAAACACAAAACTCAAATCTTATGAAGTAAGATTTTAAACGTAATCTTACATTTGCGTTAGAGACTAATATTTTTGGGACTTTTAGGCTTCTTTTTTTTTTTGACAGATTTAGCTTTTCTGATACCAAATATAAAACCACAAGTTTTTGCTGACTTTTAGTGGCAGTGGTAGAAGGCAGTGGTGGCCTAGTGGTAAAGGAAGCGGACTTCGGTCCGGAAGGCCCCATGCACTGAGCATGGCATCGTCCTCAAGCACTGCTCCCCGGGCGCCGACCATGGCTGCCCACTGTTCACTTGGTGATGGGTTAAATGCAGAGGTTAAATTTCATTGTGCATGGTGTGCTGTGCTGTGCTATGTCACAAATGATAAATAAAGACAAGTTTAAGTTTAATTTTTCAAGGCAGTGGTGGCCTAGTGGTGAAGGAGGCGGACTTCGGTCTGGAAGGCCCCAGGTTCGAATCCACCAACTGCCAGGTTGCCACTGAGATGCACTGAGCATGGCATCGTCCTCAAGCACTGCTCCCCGGGCGCCGACCATGGCTGCCCACTGTTCACTTTGGTGATGGGTTAAATGCAGAGGGCAAATTTCGTTGTGCATGGTGTGCTGTGCTGTGCTGTGTCACAATGACCAATAAAGATAAGTTTAAGTTTAAGTTTAAGTTAAGTGATTACTCTCCTGAACTGTACTACTTTTGCTTGTCTAATATACAGGAGACAAACATCTAAGACTGAAATTCTAAGACTGCTATGACAACTTTGGACCCTTATGCTAAACTCATCACCAAACCACAGATAACCGTGTTGCACATCAAGCACAAAAACACACAGAAAATGTCTATTTATTTACCACTGAATTAAACCAGTGGCTCATTTGTAAACTGGGCTTTTGAAGCAATGAAATACTGTTTAGCGAGAGCAAAGTGAAATAATTTTCATACGAACCTAGGAAAAATTATAATAATTTCATCAATGGATTAGTCTCATGTTCATGGAGCTCATTTTTCTTTATGTTTAATTACAAACACAACACAACTGCTCCGCCGACAGATCAGTCACTGTCTAATTATGTTTGCAGGGACAACAAGCCAACACCGACCAAACCATATTAAAGCCCAGATGAAAAAAGACTTCATAATTAAGCAGTAAAGTGATGCACCTGTGGAGTTCTGTGTTGATGGATGTCTGTATCCATATCTGAGGCCTGCCGCAAAAGCAATTACATCTTTGAGCTGCAGTGGATGCTGGGAGACATTGAAGGAAAGTGAAATCAATATCTCACTTTAGATGTTTATTTTAAATAAAAACTGCAGTTGGATGTTTGTTATGATTATTACAATGACTAACTTCGACTAAGTGACTGAAACATTAATACAACTACCTAGTAAGGTTTACTACTGCGATGACTGATACATTTTCACTGCCCAAAACTTCCAAAAACCAGTTACTCAGAACTACAATGTGCTAGTACAGTGGAACCTCGAGATCGGGCATAATCCGTTCCAGGACAGAACTTGTAACTCGAATCATGTTTTCCTATAAGGAATAACAGAAGAAAAAAAAAAGTGTTCCGGCCCTCTAAAAAACTCCTTTATTAGTGCTAATAACAATGGAAAACACATGTTTTTAATTGCTACAGTGACACACACACACAAATATATATATATATATATATATATAGTATATAAGGATTCCTGTGATATAAAATAAAAGGTGGTTTTAATTATGAGTTCTTATCTTCGAGACAGACGATACAGTAGAGGCTAATGGAGACGTGGGGAGGAGGAGGAGGGAGGGAAGGAGTGAGAGAGAGTTGGCCCGTACGTAGACACTTGATTCCATACCGTACCTTACACATACACTACGTAACTTACATAAACTTAGAATTAACTTAACTACCGTATTATTTGTTTTTTACTTTAAGATGGTACATATCGTGGATGTACTGCGATCATACATGCGTGCTGATCACTCACGCGGGCACCACGCTCATATTTATTGACTCACTACCATCCATCACGTAGATAACGCTACGGAAGTCGCCGAAGACCTGAAGTGAACGAGTGAGGCGGCGTGGGCCTACCTAGCGTTAGCGTCTGTAAGCGTGCTTGTATTTCGAATATGTACTCGTATGTCAAGACGTCCGTATCTCGAGGCTCCACTGTACAGGCGTGGGCAAACTTTTTGACTCGCAAGCAACAATTGTCCAACAATTGAACAGGGGGGCGGGTCAGGAGCAGAGATGGAGCATTCGTGTAAACTAAGATAAATTACATGTCGTGCATGAAGGCTGAAAGGCTAAAATGCTTTTATCACTTTCTATGCCAACTGTTGGGGAAACGTGGGTATTGCAGGGAAAAGGCAGAAGTATAATGATAATATAAATAAATTAGTGGCGCTTTGGCCCAGAGGCAATGTCTCTGTCATTGGTGTGGAACCCCAGAGTTCACCTCCTGGGCAAGATTGAATCCCAGTTAGGGAGGTTGGTACCTTCCACTGGACTCACCCCGCGCAGGAAGGTTAACGAGGGGCTTGTACAGTGCAGTGTAATTTGGGTGGCGGGTGTGGAGACTGCTGCCCCCCCGCAACCCGGTAACGAATAAGTGGATAAAAATGGATGGATGGATAAAAAAAATTATATCATTTGGAAAAGTTTGGCGGGCCGGATTAAAAAGCTGAATGGGCTGCATCTGGCCTCCGGGCTTTAGTTGGCCCATGCGTGGTCTAGAACTTCAAATCCTATCTCCAGAAAAGTCTGTAACATGTTTATTTAATCTATTTCTTCAGACATAAAGACAGGCAAACCTAAATGTAATTGTGGGGAAAAAATGTGTATTCTATGACTCTAAGACCTTTACAACAGGAATTTCTTTAGTAACTATCTTTATCCAGTTATCTCAGCCAAAACTTCAGTTACTCAACACATGCATTTGCAGAATGGTCAATAGAAATGCTTCTAAAATGAAAAATATTGCACCCACGAAAAAGTAAACGGACAGAGAGATCCCCCACCCCCTTAGGCTGTTTTTCTAAAGAACAACAAATAGCCTTAAACCATAACTGTAACTACACAGTCAGGGTCACCCATTATATCACCAGAACCTCTCTCACTGCCCACTAAATGTTAGTATCAGGAATAATATTTACGCCTTGGGCATGTTTAATAAAAATATGCATCCACTCTGTCTGTTCCCACTGGTGAAAACGGCAACGTAGAGGTAAGGACTGTAGCATGCTATCCTCATTTATTCTTTAATGTGCTTTCATGCACAAGGCTGCATGATAATGAACTGTGTGTCACTGGCACTGCAGTGTTGTGTATCTTTAAGCCTCAGCAGCTCTGTGAGTTCCACCATCACAATAGTCTTATTTGTCTATGTGACAGTTCAATCTTTTGCACAGCAGCAGGAGGAAGGCAGTCGAAAAGCATCAGCTCATGTGGAAAATAGAGAATATTCTGCTGCCACTACTGATGTTGTAATTTTTAGTGTTCTGCACTTGAGGAAGACTGATATTTGTATTGATTTATAGGGTAAATTTAACATATGCTAATAATGCATTTGCAATACTAATAAGTTATAACCCGTCTTATTTTAAACATTAAATAAATGTGATTTTTAATTTTTTTTATTACTGAATAAAGGATTTAGAATGTGCTACCATAAACACAGTCCCTACCCCAGGGTTTGTATACATTTTAATTATAAATTACGCAAGATTTAAATGTTAGCCTATAATCAATTTGCATGCAATGAATAAAATTATTAAAACATTTAAAAATATAATAAAATTATATACATTTTAGTCGAATTAAACGGTGTTTGTGGTATTTACGAACAATAACATCGGGATATTTAGATTACAGATTAATTCATAATTAATCTATAATTTGTATTTATAACAAGAGACCAAACCAAATGTATGAAGAGGAAAATAACAACGTACTGAAACAAATGGCTTCTATTAGTGTTTGCTACTTAATGAAACTATACAATAAACAATTATGTGGTATGTGCTCAATTGTCTGTGTAGGTTCTCAGTCATCCAGGTCAGTTAATCAAAAAATAGTTACATCGAGGGCGACTGGACGAAACAGGTTTCTTCCGTTTTGAAGAACAAGATATGTACTCAATTATATTTACAGAGATTTATCTACCGAGAGTATTGCTAAAATGTATTAAGCGTTGAGTTTTATTCAGCCGTTTCATTTAAATGCTTTTGAACAGAGGGTGGCAGTGTTTACTTGAAAGTTATCTGCATTAGCGTTTCAAAGCCGGACGTGACGTCACGTATTAAAGTCCCGTGTCAGAAGTGGAATCTCGATACACTTTTGTCGTGGGTAATTCGGGAATTATTATTTTCAACTTTAAAATCGGAGGAGTTTATTTGTTTAAATCGTGTCATACTTTAGAAAACGTGTGCCTGGTACTCTTGTGTAGTCAGTTGTTAGCAGTTGTGTAGCTGCAGGATAAACGATGCCTGCCCGGAACCTAGTGTCCAGCAGCGGCTTCGGGAGTAGCAGCAGCGTAGCTGATCACAGTAAAGTCAGGTATTCCAGGTTGGCAACTGATGATGGTGGATACATAGACTTACAGGTAAAACACATTGTATATTTTTGTATGATTAAATATGATAAACACTGCGTCTTGGGAAGTTTTGCAACAGTTATACCGACCTTAGACATAATTTTAGCTGTATGGTTATCGATTATACAGTAATCAAGTTAATGGACCTGCAAACCTATTAATAATGTATGTAATAGATTGTACTACTTGTAACAATGTATTTTAAACCTTCGGATGCACAGCAGTAGATTTGTTTAAAGTCAGTGCTGTAAAAGTATATGTTTAGAGATGTTACTAGTAGCCACCCATCTTATGAATCATGTAGGCCATAAGGTGAACTCGATTATCGTTTCATCTCGCTCCGACGTCTGGGAACTACACGATCTCAACTTTATAAATAATAACAAGTTACGTTAAACTTACAGCAAAAAGTTCGTCACAAAATATCTTGGCCGTTTTTTATATCGATGCATTTTATAAAGAACTAGCGTCTTTGGGGCACAATAAGATTTGGGTGAGCGAGCGCTGGCACGGTTCAACACGTGATCGTGCTACACCAATCGAGTAGCTTGAGTAGTATTGAGAGTAGTAACACTTGAGTTGTAGTGTTGAGATTGATGTCAACACTTCCGGCAACATCGGAAGTGTTACACAATCGTGTAGTTCTCAGACGTCGGAGCGGAATTCCATTAAAAAAAAGGACTAAAGGACTTTTCGTGGTTCATCTTACGGCCTAATGTGATGAATTCACGTGACACATTTCAAAGTTGAAACTGGGTAGTATTTGACATAAGGGTCTTTTTGAACCTCCCTCAGATTCCTAAAGGGAATTTAGATTTCCTTAAAATGTGATTTTGTGGCATTAGCCTAAATCGGCAGTAGTGTAAGTTTGGTATATGAAAAAAAAACAAACAACAACAACAAACGTATAGCGTTCCATCATTCGGTAAAAATATAAGACTACAGGAACTTACTAGGGAACCTAGTAATTTAAACTGCTGTCTACACAACAGCTGCCACCTAGATGAAGTGGTTGTTCATAGCCATAGTGTTTTGTATCTGATTTGGTGTCAGTAAGGGATCAATTCCTTTTATTTCACATTGTGAAATACATAGAATTTACATCATCAAGTTTGTGGCATTAGCCTAAATCGGCAGTAGTGTAAGTTTGGTATATGAAAAAAAAACAAACAACAACAACAAACGTATAGCGTTCCATCATTCGGTAAAAATATAAGACTACAGGAACTTACTAGGGAACCTAGTAATTTAAACTGCTGTCTACACAACAGCTGCCACCTAGATGAAGTGGTTGTTCATAGCCATAGTGTTTTGTATCTGATTTGGTGTCAGTAAGGGATCAATTCCTTTTATTTCACATTGTGAAATACATAGAATTTACATCATCAAGTCATCATAATTGATCTTAGGCTTTTCTGCGAAGTTCCTGCATATAAAGGGCCACACCACATCTGTCTTCAGCATGAATGAGAAAGATGGTGATGTTGTATAAAGTCTGACCTATGTTAGAATTCTTTAAAAAAAAATATTTTTCTTCTCTCTAGTTCAAAAAGAGCCCACCCAAAGTTCCGTACAAAGCCATCACCTTGGCCACGGTTCTCTTCTTGATCGGCTCTCTGTTAATCGTCATTGGTGCTCTTCTTCTGGCTGGATACTTTGGAGTCACTGTGAGGCATAAAAATCTTTTTATGACAGCAGCACAAATACATACTTAAGATATTTAAAGACATTTAATCACTATGTGTAAAATGTTTTGTGTCTTTCAGCACACCGACCGGACTATACCTGTTCTCATCATTGGAATCCTTGTCTTCCTGCCTGGATTTTACCACCTAAGAATAGCTTATTATGCATCAAAGGGTTACCCAGGATATTCCTATGATGATATTCCAGACTTTGATGACTAATCTTTATACTGGATTAAGCTGGAAGCTACATCCACATTACTTTGGTTTCGAAAAACAACTTTTAGTTAGATTTAGTTTCTTGCTTTACAATTGGCTGTAGCAGATCGTTGGAGTTGCCACAAGGGGACTTTACTAATTGCAAAAAGTACATTTTTGTTAACCATATGGACCATATTTATCATATGGAGTTTATGGTCTGAAAAATTGGTTTTTAATAGATAGGCTGATTTTTTTTTTTTTAATTTTAACTAAACAAGTACAGTACATATCAATTACAAAAGTTTATACATATGGTAAATAAGCAGATACAGTTAGGCCTATAAATGTTGGGACAGTGACAAAAGTTTTGTTATTTCAGCTGTTTACGAAAACATATTTAGGCTATGGGCTTAAAGTGCAGACTCTCACCTGTAATTTGAGAGCATTCACATCCATATTAGAGCAAGAGTTTAGGAATTACAGGTCTTGAATACATAGCTGCCTCTTTTTCAAGGGATCAAAAGTGGACAATTGACTCAGAAGGCTGCAAAGGGCTCTTCCCTCATTAACCTGTCATCAATTAAGCAGTCAAAAGTCTGGAGTTGATTCCAGGTGCAGGTCCAGGCGAACACACAACATGGGGTCAAAGGAGCTCCCAATGGAGGTGAAACAGACCATCATGAGGCTGAAAAAAAGAAGAAATCCATCAGCGAGATGGCAGAAATGTTAGAGTGCACTGGTGAGCTTGGGAACTCAAAAAAGGCCTACACGTCCACGGAAGACGGTGGATGATCCACTCAAGTGAAGAACACCCTTCAGGAAGTAGATGTATCAGTATCTAAGTCTACAATAAAGAGAAGACTTCATGAGAGTAAATACAAAGGATTCACCACAAGGTGCAAACCATTAATCAGCCTCAAAAACTGAAGGGCCAAAAATTACTTTGCTCAAGGCAAAACTTAAGGCAGAAAGACCCACAAACAAGTAACAACTAAAGACAGCTGTAGTAAAGGCATCACAAAGGAGAAAACCCAGCCTTTGGTGATGTCCATGAGTTCCAAACTTCAGGCAGTCATTGTCTGCAAAGGATACTCAACAAAATGCACTTCAGTTCCGTTGTAGTTGTTTTATTTCAAATCCAATGTGGTGGCATGCAGAGCCCAAATAATGAACGATTGTGTCACTGCCCAAATATTTCTGGGCCTAACTGTACTTCATTGACAGTATATTCTGTTTCCAGGTGAAGCTTCAGTTTGTTTCTGGACTTAGAGAACAAGCTATACTCTTCCTTGAATGGACAGACATCACAAAAACAGCCATTAGGTTTACAAACAATGTTTGCGTCATAAATAACAAACATGGAGGCTTTTCATATTTTCATATCAGTTTTCCTAATTCAGTTTTATCACTAATTGCCTATATCAGCACGTCAGAGGTATTTTAATATCAGAGAAGACAGAAGCAGGGCGTACTGTAACTTTTGTTCTCTTACAACAGCAGCAATGTACAATTCAGAAAAATCTCATACGTTGCCCTGGACTGCTGAATCCAGTGATTACTTGTTTGTTACTTGATTTTCAACCGGATTTATCTAATCGACACAATGTATTTAATGTACATCCTATTAAAACAAGCTTAATCAAATTTAACTATGACGCAAGAGGTACAAATCTTATGATGAAACCCAATTAAATTATAGACTTGCAATGGTAACGGTCATTTCCACGTGATTTTATTTTGGAATGTGTAACCGGAAGTAACCGGAAGTGCCTAATGGCGATTCATCCACGACACTACAATCAAAACACTCCTTTGGTTTATACCTTAGAGTGCACAGCCTTTAATGCTTCTCAATGACTGGATGTGTGTGTGGTTTTAAATCACAGTGAAAAGGTTTAGCATGTGTTCATGACCTAAAGCTTAGCCGTGATCCTTGGATCAATATGAGGAGAACAACAGTCAGCCTCACACACACACCCACTCACACACTCTCCTCTCTTCTGGTATGAGTCAGACAAAGCACCTGTTTTTCATAAAAAATGCTGGATGATGAAACTGAGGACCGATTGCCAGGGATACAGGCATAAACCATGTGTAGTCTGCTGTTTGTGTCACATGGTATAGACTGATTATTTAACTTGCCTGCTGTCACCATAATGCAGTGAGCTGGACAGATTGTAATTTAGCATGTTCAGTTTCCGTCCATTCAGCGTAATTCACTTCTCTATTGTGTTCTGTGTACTGTCCTCATTGTTCTTTGTAAATTACCATCATATGTGGACAAATAGAATGATTAGTAGTTCCAGCAAAAGTACCATCCCAATTCCTTGCAGAGTAGTGCTAAAGCCAGTGTTGTGCTTTGTCACTGGACTTCACCTACCCAGTATGTTACCTTTGGCCTTTGCCTTCTCAGACCTTCTCATGACTTGAAAAGAAGCATTATGCTGACCCTGTTCCTTATGGTCGGGAGCAGGACAGGACAAAGGCCGCAGTGATTACTTAAAGGTGTTAGTGTCTTAGCAGACTCAAATGTCAGAGCTGTATGAAGTCTTTCTTTGGAAAAAGAAACTAAACCATGTGCTAATATTACAAGTGTCAGTGATTCATTTATCTGCATATACATTCAGATAAAGTTTGGGTGAACAGTTTCTATAAATATTTCCATTTTAATCCTTGATTCCTATTTTGTTTTTGTGACCTTGAGTCTAAATGCTTGTGAAAGTCTTTGAAAGTAGAGCTTTAAAAACTAAGTTTAAAAAGTAGTGGCTGGAGCTAATTGATGGTTTTGCTTATATTTAGCAACTTTAAACTTAATCAAACTAAACTTCATCAACAAAGAAAAAACACTGGAAATGTCCTAGGGTCAGTGGCATAGGTGAACTTCAAACTTAACTGGTATTAGTGCAATGGGGCGATTTATTAGTGTTGTTTATATTGAAACAGTCCATTGTTATGGCCTGCTGCAACATGTGTTTTCATTGGGTTAATCCATCCACAGCAGGCTTTTCCGCTCACAAACACTCTGACTTAAATCCCATGCCAACTCTTTTTTTTTCAAGTCAATACAGTTTGTTATGTAGATTGCTGTGTCAGGGACAAAATCATCGAATTGACTGCTTTGCTGAGTAGGCCATTTCAAATGGTTCATTTGAACTTACTAATGTTTTAAAGGTTGTGGGTTTCATGCTTCTCGTGTGGTTGCTGTACCAGATAGGCTTTTGTGATATTTCCTTTACATGTTTTCAGTAGGTTCACAGAAGTTTGTGCTAAAGCCACTGTGCTAATGGGCTTTTTACACTATTAAAATATATTCAAAGATTTTGAACAATTTCATAACATTAGACCAAAGTGCACATTAACTGGGTGGCGGGTGTGGAGACTGCTGCCCCCCCGCAACCCGGTAACGAATAAGTGGATAAAAATGGATGGATGGATAAAAAAAATTATATCATTTGGAAAAGTTTGGCGGGCCGGATTAAAAAGCTGAATGGGCTGCATCTGGCCTCCGGGCTTTAGTTGGCTCATGCGTGGTCTAGAACTTCAAATCCTATCTCCAGAAAAGTCTGTAACATGTTTATTTAATCTATTTCTTCAGACATAAAGACAGGCAAACCTAAATGTAATTGTGGGGAAAAAATGTGTATTCTATGACTCTAAGACCTTTACAACAGGAATTTCTTTAGTAACTATCTTTATCCAGTTATCTCAGCCAAAACTTCAGTTACTCAACACATGCATTTGCAGAATGGTCAATAGAAATGCTTCTAAAATGAAAAATATTGCACCCACGAAAAAGTAAACGGACAGAGAGATCCCCCACCCCCTTAGGCTGTTTTTCTAAAGAACAACAAATAGCCTTAAACCATAACTGTAACTACACAGTCAGGGTCACCCATTATATCACCAGAACCTCTCTCACTGCCCACTAAATGTTAGTATCAGGAATAATATTTACGCCTTGGGCATGTTTAATAAAAATATGCATCCACTCTGTCTGTTCCCACTGGTGAAAACGGCAACGTAGAGGTAAGGACTGTAGCATGCTATCCTCATTTATTCTTTAATGTGCTTTCATGCACAAGGCTGCATGATAATGAACTGTGTGTCACTGGCACTGCAGTGTTGTGTATCTTTAAGCCTCAGCAGCTCTGTGAGTTCCACCATCACAATAGTCTTATTTGTCTATGTGACAGTTCAATCTTTTGCACAGCAGCAGGAGGAAGGCAGTCGAAAAGCATCAGCTCATGTGGAAAATAGAGAATATTCTGCTGCCACTACTGATGTTGTAATTTTTAGTGTTCTGCACTTGAGGAAGACTGATATTTGTATTGATTTATAGGGTAAATTTAACATATGCTAATAATGCATTTGCAATACTAATAAGTTATAACCCGTCTTATTTTAAACATTAAATAAATGTGATTTTTAATTTTTTTTATTACTGAATAAAGGATTTAGAATGTGCTACCATAAACACAGTCCCTACCCCAGGGTTTGTATACATTTTAATTATAAATTACGCAAGATTTAAATGTTAGCCTATAATCAATTTGCATGCAATGAATAAAATTATTAAAACATTTAAAAATATAATAAAATTATATACATTTTAGTCGAATTAAACGGTGTTTGTGGTATTTACGAACAATAACATCGGGATATTTAGATTACAGATTAATTCATAATTAATCTATAATTTGTATTTATAACAAGAGACCAAACCAAATGTATGAAGAGGAAAATAACAACGTACTGAAACAAATGGCTTCTATTAGTGTTTGCTACTTAATGAAACTATACAATAAACAATTATGTGGTATGTGCTCAATTGTCTGTGTAGGTTCTCAGTCATCCAGGTCAGTTAATCAAAAAATAGTTACATCGAGGGCGACTGGACGAAACAGGTTTCTTCCGTTTTGAAGAACAAGATATGTACTCAATTATATTTACAGAGATTTATCTACCGAGAGTATTGCTAAAATGTATTAAGCGTTGAGTTTTATTCAGCCGTTTCATTTAAATGCTTTTGAACAGAGGGTGGCAGTGTTTACTTGAAAGTTATCTGCATTAGCGTTTCAAAGCCGGACGTGACGTCACGTATTAAAGTCCCGTGTCAGAAGTGGAATCTCGATACACTTTTGTCGTGGGTAATTCGGGAATTATTATTTTCAACTTTAAAATCGGAGGAGTTTATTTGTTTAAATCGTGTCATACTTTAGAAAACGTGTGCCTGGTACTCTTGTGTAGTCAGTTGTTAGCAGTTGTGTAGCTGCAGGATAAACGATGCCTGCCCGGAACCTAGTGTCCAGCAGCGGCTTCGGGAGTAGCAGCAGCGTAGCTGATCACAGTAAAGTCAGGTATTCCAGGTTGGCAACTGATGATGGTGGATACATAGACTTACAGGTAAAACACATTGTATATTTTTGTATGATTAAATATGATAAACACTGCGTCTTGGGAAGTTTTGCAACAGTTATACCGACCTTAGACATCATTTCAGTTAGCTGTATGGTTATCGATTATACAGTAATCAAGTTAATGGACCTGCAAACCTATTAATAATGTATGTAATAGATTGTACTACTTGTAACAATGTATTTTAAACCTTCGGATGCACAGCAGTAGATTTGTTTAAAGTCAGTGCTGTAAAAGTATATGTTTAGAGATGTTACTAGTAGCCACCCATCTTATGAATCATGTAGGCCATAAGGTGAACTCGATTATCGTTTCATTTCGCTCCGACGTCTGGGAACTACACGATCTTAACTTTATAAATACGAACGAGTTACGTTAAACGTACAGCAAAAACTTTGTCGCAAAATATCCTGCCCGTTTTTTATATCGATGCAATTATAAAGAACTAGCGTCTTTGGGGCGCAATGAGATTTTGGTGCGCGAGCGGTGGCACGGTTCGACACGTGATCGTGCTACACCAATCGAGTAGCTGATTGATGTCAACACTTTCGGCAACACTGCTTCCTCCTTGGTTCCACTTAACGTTACCGGCAGAGAGGAATTCTCTGAAAAGTCTTCTAGTGGGTCAAATGGATTCTAAACAGTACTTTATACATAGCCGCCTGCACGAAGAACAATGAGGAAAATAGACGATAAGGTGAACTTTGTTCTGTTGAACATTGTTGAACTATGTTCAATCATTTTGATCAATAGAAGGAAGTAATCAATGACAAGAACCATTTGTTTATTCATTCGTTCATTTATTCACTCCTAACAAAATACAACACTGATCAATCGTAAAAAAACTTTATTAAAACATATATACATACAGTATGTACAATATATAAAACAATACAAAACAGCATAAGAAAATGAATGGTAATATTAACCATGCAACCATTGCAATACAACTCTGAGGCTACACATGAAATGTTAGTGATCCTCCTTCTCCTTGATTTCATGTTTGCACAGTGGCAACACCTACACAGGTCTGTACAACAGAGTCCTGCAAAGACACAAGACACACTGTCAGGGGCCAGATTTCATGTCATTCATGTGACATGTAGATTTCCATCTTCTAGGTGCCAACCATATCCTGCCTGCATGACTGCAGCCTGATCATTTTTTGCAGTGCTGATGGAGGGCATCACTTAGGCATCAGAGGCTGATGATGCCATACAGAAAGCCTAGCCTCATTGACATTTTTAGCAGCCAGCTGATCATACAGTAGCAGTCAGCTGATCATACAGGTGGCATACATATTTGCAAAGCAGTGCAAATGTTAAGTGGTCCAAGTTAAAGTTAGTACCCAGATTTTTAAAACCCTTAAGGTAGTTTTCTCGCTCACTTGTTACAGAAAATGTCTTTCTTTTGCCTTTACCATAAAGGCACTTGTGGAATCACACCCAGAGGATGCATGTATGCCAATCAAGGCTGAACAAACACTGGTTCCAGTTACCTCGGTAATATCAATGATGCATGTCCTGTTGCCTGTCACTGTGAAATCTGCTCTTTTGCAGCATGTTGTGCATGCAAAAACACCCTTGACTCACATTCTTCATGATCACACTCTTCATGATCGGTCTTCCACAGCATGAACAGATGACCTGTGTAGGTGTTGCTACTGTGCAAACTGTGAAATCAAGGAGGAGGATGACAACTGCCGTGACACTGACAGTGAAGACTAACATTTCATGTGTATCCTCAGAGTTGTATTGCAATGGTTGCATGGTTAATATTACCATCATTTTCTTATGCTGTTTTGTATTGTTTTATATATTGTACATACTGTATGTATATATGTTTTAATAAAGTTTTTTTTTTACAATTGATCGGTGTTGTATTTAGTTAGGAGCGAATAAATGAACGAATGAATAAACAAATGGTTCTTGTCATTGATTACTTCCTTTTATTGATCAAAATGACTTAACAAAGTTCACCTTATCGTCTATTCACCTTATCGTCCATTTTCCTCATTGTTCTTCGTGCAGGCGGCTATGTATAAAGCACTGTTTAGAATCCATTTGGTCCACTTGAAGAGTTTTCAGAGAATTCCTCTCTATCGGTAACGTTAAGTAGAACCACGGAGGAAGCCGTGTTGCCGGAAGTGTTGACATCATTCAGCTACTCGATTGGTGTAGCACGATCACGTGTCGAACCGGGCCACCGCTCGAGCACCAAAATCTCATTGCGCCCCAAAGACGCTAGTTCTTTATAAAATGTATCGATATAAAAAACGGGCAAGAATAAGTTTTTTGCTGTACATTTAACGTAACTCGTTCGTATTTATGTTTAGATCGTGTAGTTCTCAGACGTCGGAGCGGAATTCCATTAAAAAAAAGGACTAAAGGACTTTTCGTGGTTCACCTTACGGCCTAATGTGCTGAATTCACGTGACACATTTCAAAGTTGAAACTGGGTAGTATTTGACATAAGGGTCTTTTAGAACCTCCCTCAGATTCCTAAAGGGAATTTAGATTTCCTTAAAATGTGATTTTGTGGCATTAGCCTAAATCGGCAATAGTGTAAGTTTGGTATATGACAAAAGAAAAAAAAATCCAACAACAACAAATGTATAGTTGTATAAAGTCTGATCTATGTTAGAATTCTTTAAAAAAAAAAATTTTTCTTCTCTCTAGTTCAAAAAGAGCCCACCCAAAGTTCCGTACAAAGCCATCACCTTGGCCACGGTTCTCTTCTTGATCGGCTCTCTGTTAATCGTCATTGGTGCTCTTCTTCTGGCTGGATACTTTGGAGTCACTGTGAGGCATAAAAATCTTTTTATGACAGCAGCACAAATACATACTTAAGATATTTAAAGACATTTAATCACTATGTGTAAAATGTTTTGTGTCTTTCAGCACACCGACCGGACTATACCTGTTCTCATCATTGGAATCCTTGTCTTCCTGCCTGGATTTTACCACCTAAGAATAGCTTATTATGCATCAAAGGGTTACCCAGGATATTCCTATGATGATATTCCAGACTTTGATGACTAATCTTTATACTGGATTAAGCTGGAAGCTACATCCACATTACTTTGGTTTCGAATAACAACTTTTAGATTTAGTTTCTTGCTTTACAATTGGCTGTAGCAGATCGTTGGAGTTGCCACAAGGGGACTTTACTAATTGCAAAAAGTACATTTTTGTTAACCATATGGACCATATTTATCATATGGAGTTTATGGTCTGAAAAATTGGTTTTTAATAGATAGGCTGATTTTTTTTTTTTTAATTTTAACTAAACAAGTACAGTACATATCAATTACAAAAGTTTATACATATGGTAAATAAGCAGATACAGTTAGGCCTATAAATGTTGGGACAGTGACAAAAGTTTTGTTATTTCAGCTGTTTACGAAAACATATTTAGGCTATGGGCTTAAAGTGCAGACTCTCACCTGTAATTTGAGAGCATTCACATCCATATTAGAGCAAGAGTTTAGGAATTACAGGTCTTGAATACATAGCTGCCTCTTTTTCAAGGGATCAAAAGTGGACAATTGACTCAGAAGGCTGCAAAGGGCTCTTCCCTCATTAACCTGTCATCAATTAAGCAGTCAAAAGTCTGGAGTTGATTCCAGGTGCAGGTCCAGGCGAACACACAACATGGGGTCAAAGGAGCTCCCAATGGAGGTGAAACAGACCATCATGAGGCTGAAAAAAAGAAGAAATCCATCAGCGAGATGGCAGAAATGTTAGAGTGCACTGGTGAGCTTGGGAACTCAAAAAAGGCCTACACGTCCACGGAAGACGGTGGATGATCCACTCAAGTGAAGAACACCCTTCAGGAAGTAGATGTATCAGTATCTAAGTCTACAATAAAGAGAAGACTTCATGAGAGTAAATACAAAGGATTCACCACAAGGTGCAAACCATTAATCAGCCTCAAAAACTGAAGGGCCAAAAATTACTTTGCTCAAGGCAAAACTTAAGGCAGAAAGACCCACAAACAAGTAACAACTAAAGACAGCTGTAGTAAAGGCCTGGCAAAGCATCACAAAGGAGAAAACCCAGCCTTTGGTGATGTCAATGAGTTCCAAACTTCAGGCAGTCATTGCCTGCAAAGGATACTCAACAAAATGCACTTCAATTCCGTTGTAGTTGTTTTATTTCAAATCCAATGTGGTGGCATGCAGAGCCCAAATAATGAACAATTGTGTCACTGCCAAATATTTCTGGGCCTAACTGTACTTCATTGACAGTATATTCTGTTTCCAGGTGAAGCTTCAGTTTGTTTCTGGACTTAGAGAACAAGCTATACTCTTCCTTGAATGGACAGACATCACAAAAACAGCCATTAGGTTTACAAACAATGTTTGCGTCATAAATAACAAACATGGAGGCTTTTCATATTTTTACTTTTTCTTCCTCTGTTGACTTTATTATATGACTTTTCTATTCTGAGGTCCGTTAACACAGCAGTATCTCAGACAACATGCATGTAAGGTTTAGAATTTTGAATGTAAAAATAAACACACAGTATTGTGGATGTAGCCATGTCTTGCTGCCTTTATATGAACAGAACTGAAGGTCTGACCATTTATGTAATCACCTTTACAAGATTATTTTGTCAGTTGCTTATAAGACCATATAGGTTTACAAAATCTATAAGCATATATTTAGTTGGACTAAGTATTAAAATAACATTTAACTCACTATTTTATCGTTTATGTTATATATGAAAAATATTATTTTGGTTTGTCTAAAGCAGGGGTTTCCAAAAACTAAATCATTTTTCAAATGTCTACTCTGAAACTTAGGACTCCGCGGCAGGAGGAGTATTTGTAATTGTGTTGAAGGTTTGTTAGAACATGGACCAAAAGCTCAGGATCGAATGTTGTTATTGTTGTTTTTCGTCTTTTGCCTTTTGTTGATGTCGTGTTTCACTCAAGCCATGCCTTTGTTAGAGCCGGTAAAACAGCAGTAGCGTCAAGTCACACACAGACTGTTGGATAGGAGGAGAAATAAATACAGTTGATGTGTCGTTCGCGAGTGATTCGTTCAAAATGAACGAATCTTTCATTTGAGTCGTAACTTTAACTTCCGAGTTATATGAAAGATTCGTGACTCGTGACGACCGAGTCATATTAAATATTTATTCATATTGAACTCACGAATCATTCACAAATCACTCACTGCGAACTAATCACTCACTGCGAACAAATCTTTCACTGTGAACTAATCTTTCACTACGATCTAATTACTCTGCAAACTAATCTTTCACTATGAACTAATCTATCATTGCAAACGAATCACTCTCTATGAACGAATCTTTCACTGTGAACTAATCTTTCACTGCAAACGAATCACTGTGAACTAATCTTTCGCTGTGAACTAATATTTCCCCGTGAACTAATCTTTTGCTGTGAACGAATCATTCTCTGTGAACTAATATTTTGCTGTGAACTAATCTTTCGCTGTTAACAAATCATTCTCCGTGAGCTAATCTTTCGCCGTGAACTAATCTTTTGCTGTGAACGAATCATTCTCTGTGAACTAATCTTTCGCCGTGAACTAATCTTTCGCTGTGAACGAATCTTTTGCTGTGAACTAATCACTATGAACGGATCATTCTCTGTTCTCGCAGATTCGTTTCAATTGTCACGTGAAAGAGCTCGGGTCTTTTTTGCTCTCATTCATCTT